TAATCATAAAATAACATACATGTAAAATATATTGTATCATGTATGTAAACTGAATCATCATGCATACATAAACATCACCATAAAAATCATATAATGCTCGAAAATAAAGTTATGCATCCCATTGTAAGTCCCATGAAGACTTACCTGATTGCGTGTAGATTGACTACCGATAGCTCTTGACCAAATGCCTACACATTTCATACCATAATATCTCATTAACGGCTTAATTTCTCCAAAAGTCAACATGGGTCGAACGTGTCAAAAGTCAATTCTTGGTCAACTCAGTCAACCCCGACTAACTTTAGCCAAACCTCAAGTATAAAACTCGATGACATCCTAAGACATTAAAAAAACCCATTCTATAAACTTATAAATCCATCTCTCCAAATTAAAGCACACTAATAAATGCTCAACTCAAATACGACGCTTTAATCTCATGATTATATCATCAAAGTAATTTGATAATTTATTATAAACTTTTCTCCTTAGAAATAAATAATCAATTAATATTAATATTYTAAAATAATTAATATATCAATTAAATAATAATTTAAATTAATACATTAATTAATTTAGAAATTAAATTAATTAGTTAACATAATCTAAATAATTATGACTTAATCAATCTAAGTCCAAAATAAAATAAATATCCAATATAAATAAATATGATATCTTATGAGCTCAAAATAATTAATTGTTGGTCCAATTAATTATCTAAATAACTCAAAGATATATGGACCTAAATGTTAATCCAAACAAGAAAACGACCCAAAATAGGGAAAGATCTATGCCCACACGAGGCTCTGATACCATGAAAAAAACAATAACCAAACTATATATTTCACATTTAAAAAGATTACACAAGACTATGAAAAGAAAACCCTAGACTGTATATGAATCTAGCTAGAAGAGCTAAAAACTAAGGGTGCGTTTGGTTTGTAGGAATGTTTCTGAGGGATTTGGATTCCCAAGAGGGATTTGGATTCCATGGGATTTGGATTGGATTGGATTTAAAATCCATTCTTGTGTTTAGTTTGCAGGATTTGGATTGAGATTTTTTTTTTCTTTTGTAATTATTTTAGTCATCAAATCTCTTTCATTTCTCAAAACTACCTATTTAACCATCAAAGTTATTAATCCAACAGAACTGACTGAAAGTTATTAACAACAAATTCATCAAGAATAATTCCAATGAACTGGCCATTTACAAAGCTTAAAATCAAGTCGAGCAAGCAAATGAGTTGTTATAAAGCCTGCCTTCTGTTGGCCATTTACAAAGCTTAAAAAAGTATGTCAATATGGGATCTTTTCATCATAACCAGGATTGAAGATTAGGTATGAAATAATGAAGCAGTCAAGTGAAACAGTGAAGATTATGTATGAAACAATGAAGCAATTGAGCGAAACAGTGAAGCAGTCAAGCTAAAATTGAATAAATCAAACACGTCTTTCAATCAATTTCAAGAACTAAATCAAGAAAAAGCATCAATTTCCAGAACCACAAAAGCATTAGAAGCACGACGATGGAGGAGAGGATTGAAGAAAAGAGACGCACCTTGGGAGAAAGCAACGGAGACGGAGACGACCACTGTGACAAAAAGCGACGGAGACGGGACGACCACCGTGGGAGCAAGCGATAGAGACGGCGATGGAGGAGGCAACGGAAACGGTGAATGATGAAAATGAAGGAGGCGATGGAGACGGTGAAGGATGAAAATGGAAGAGGCGATGGAGACGGTAAGTTAGGGCAAGAAGATCGGTGAGAAGGACGAGGGAGGAGGGGGCATTGATGGCGTCGATTTTGTTCAGGGTTCAGTGAACATCACTGCTAAATTAGGGCAAGAAGAGAAATCCGACCATACTTGGATTTGAAATACCACCCATTTCCAAAGGATTTCCAAATCCATCATTTAAGKGATTTCAAAGGAATCCTTGGATTTCAAATCCTCACAATCCAGCAAACCAAACACTGGATTGGAATGGATTTCAAATCCAAATCCCCCCAATTCCATTCCATTCCTGCAAACCAAACGCCCCCTAAGAGAGATATCTAGAGAGAATACAGAAACAAAAGATGAATGATGAAAATGAAAATGAAAACCAAAAAATAAGCATATATATATATATATATGTGTGTGTGTGTGTGTGTGTGTATTAACATGAATTTACAAATCAAGCCCCCAAAGAATGTAGAATTTGCTCCGCTACCCTTCAAGTATTCCCAATAGTGAGTCGTGGTCCTTCAACTCTTAAACCTTAAGATTTTGACAAAATCAACTCCTTATAAAAATAATCCTAACAAGAATATAACAAAAATTAAGATTGTTAAAAACATATTATATTTAACAATGTAATGTTTTTGTATCACTTTTAGATATGACACTTTATTGTGTGGTCTTATTAACCTAAGTTCTATAACATAGTCTATTAGAACACTTAGATATTGTGTCTTATAGATCTAATATTGTTGTAGTGTGAGGACCTGCCCAAGACCAGTCTAAGCCAAAAGGCCCGATAAGTCCCAATTTTTTGGAGAGAGAGAAAAACCTTATTAAGACCCCCGGTCCTATCAACCTAAATAAAGCGTTTGGTTAAAGGACTAACTAAACCCCAAAACGGTTGTTTAACCTAGACTAACTAAAAACTGGTAAGGAAAAACCAAGTTGGACCAACCAAATGCCTAATCCAAGCCTGAAGTACCAATTCAGTCCTAGTTTCCAATATAAGGACGGTTTAGAGGGCCTCTTTGGTCCTTCCATAGACTAAATAGTATTCATTCTTTAATTATTGAAATGGGCATTCTAAAATCTGGTCCTATCTTTCCTTCTACATCTCTAATCTAAAAGATTTGAAGGTAATTAATTAATTAACACCAATATTAAATAACATTTTCCTCTTTATTTTGTTCGTGGTCAGAGAATGATAATTTATTCTTCCGATGAAATAGCATAATTTTAAAGACCCACTAAAAAATGAACAAATATATTCCCCTACCAACAATAATATGATCTCAAGATTTTGATATTACCTCAAAGAAAAGAATAGGGCATTCGTATCTATTTTCTTAATGAAGAATTTTCTTCGTATTTTAATGCTCTTTACATGCTTTAATTTTTTTTAAAGTATATAATATTTATATGTGTCAAATATAACAGATAAACTCACACACTCTTCTCAAATTTAGTGAGGTTTGAACCTCTGACTTCCTAGAAGGCCAAAGATTCACATACCGCTAGACTAAAAACCTTTTGGTAATTTGCTAAAATCTGGTTATAAAAAAACAAAAGGAATATATTGAAGAATATATGGATAATTGATATTACATTGCATTCCACGAAGGAATGTTCCCTATTTCACTTGCTATAAATTGCAACTGTCCACCAATTTCCAATAAATTCAATAAAGCATTCATAATAAAATGGGGATAAAATATCTTAAAATACTATTTTAATGAATTTGAGTTTATACAAGATGTAACAATTGTGTGTAACATGTAAAAACGTTATAATAAATTTATAAGACAATTTTGGGTGTTTTAACAATTATTTTATGACCGCTTTAAAATAAAGTGTTATATTAGTTTTTTAAATAGTGTCTTAAACATATTTTTTATAGGATAATTGTTTTTATAAGACACTTTTTCGGTGTAATGTCATATAAATTTGTTAAGATGTCGAAAACCATCTTATACACTTATAACAACACTTTTACTAAGAACACACGATGGTTTTTTCCTATAAAACAATCTACTAAAACAATTAAAATATTTTTGACATCTGATAGACCCAATTTTATTATAATAATAGTTGATATATGGAATATATGATTCAAAATGAACTTCTTAGTGTTCACTTTCGTGATTGAGATTGGATTTTGTTTTTCCAGCTACGTACATTCCACAATATACATATTGCGTAGAGAAGATAAAGACAATAATTATAATGAAAAACAAAAGACACGTTTGATTGGCTTTTTCATAATTTCATTACTCACCATTGAATATATGCACAAAAATCATGTGGCTTAGCATCATTATTGAAGTCATTGGGTCACCTTCAGCTAAACTTATACAAATAGTCATTTAACTCGGTACAGCGAAATCCGATTTTTGTAACGCAAAAAATGTCTAAGTGTTTATACAGCATCTCTAACAACTTCTCAAAAATGAAAAAAAAAAATCATGGAACATGTTTTTTTCCATTATTTTTTTTTCATTTATACTTATAAATATATTGGTTGTTAGAGTTATAAATATATCTATTCAAGCATAGCGATTTTAAGTAAAATAGTTGGATAATTTGTTCAAAATATTAGATGGATTCTAATTCGGTTAAATAAAAAACCGATAGTAATTAATAATCATTGCATATTTGGATCCAATCCACCGGTGATCGACTTCACACAAAATTCATTGAATATAATAAAAGGTAGACATATATTGATTATTGAATGTCCATTCACATAATTCTACCAGAGATGCACAAAATGACAAAAAGATCTGGACCAGGCCTTCAAGGATGGTCGTTACAACCGGACGTTATAGATTTAGACACATCTAATTAATTAAATAATAATGAAATAGAGTTCCTTTGTTTTACGGAATGCAATAATTCATACAAGCTCACAATTTAGTTTTCATGTATTGTTCGTGTACGAAATAACAAATGTAAAAACGCGTTGTTTATATGATGTTGTTTCATATACGAAACAACTGCTTTTTTTCCACAAACAAAATATACAGTCATTAATATTTTACATATGGAACAACTGTACGTAAATATTACATTTCTATATGTGAAATAAAACATTATAAAAAGATTTCTATGTTTTATACAATTTATAGGATTTACAAAAATAAAGATTTTAATTGAAATCCATCATCTCATGAAAAATTCCACTTATACTTGATTGCCACGAATATGGTATTCCCCTAACGTTATAAAAAGGTGTCTGAATTCTCTTCTATATAATTTAAAATCATTGATCCTCTAAATGCAAAGCAAAATATTACGAAAATGATGATTGCTCCCACTATTTTCGTAAGAAATACATACTTGTGTTCCTTTCTTCATGCTCTACTACTTCGAGTGGATCTTCTTTGGCTACAACTCTATTACTATGCCACCCTATTCGTTTTAGGCTTCTTCGTTTTGGCCAACTTGGAACCAAGAGATCCCCTTCATCGCCCCAAAAACTATGATCTTTTCTTCACCACCGTCTCAGCTGCAACTGTTTCTAGCATGGCCACAGTTGAAATGGAGGTTTTCTCGAATACCCAACTATTTATCTTGGCGATTCTGATGTTTTTGGGAGGAGAAGTTTTCACTTCAATGCTTGAACTTCAATTCAAAAAATTCAAGTTATTGGAGACGAAGAAGACTCACTTTAACTCTAATGGTTGTACAGATCTTGAGAATGATTTGAACTCTTTGAAAACCAACACAGATTTGAAGTACAATTCCATGAAGTTGTTAGGGTTTATCATCCTATTTTACATCCTTACTGTGCATATAAGTGCATTTCTTCTAGTTTCTCTATATATAAGCCTTGTTCCATTGGCAAAAGAAGTTACAAATAGTAAAGGTGTTAGCATACCCGTATTCTCAACTGTTACCATAATCTCTACATTCAGCAACGGTGGCTTTCTCCCAACAAACGAAGGTATGATGGTTTTCAAGAAAGATTTAGGTCTGCTACTTATTTTGATCCCACTGGTTCTTCTTGGAAACACATTGTATCCTGTRATCCTTCGAGTTATWCTGTTAATTCTTGGTAAGGTGAGTAAAAGGGAGGAACTGGAGTACATATTGAAAAACCATTCGGAKATGGGGTACAACCATTTGTTATCAGGGGTCCGGTGTCGGTTTCTTGTTCTAACATCTATAGGGTTCATAAGTATTCAGTTTATTCTTTTAATAATTATGGAATGGAAATCTGATATCATGGARGGGTTGAATCCTTYGGAGAAAGTAGTAGGGTCTTTATTTCAAGTTGTGAATACGAGGCACGCCGGTGAATCGGTGTTTGATCTTTCCCTCCTGTCTCCAGCAATCATTGTGTTATTCATCACGATGATGTAAGTCCCTCTTTGCTCTCTCCAAACTTCAATTCTAGCTTCATTTAAACATGTTCAAATCTAATATATATATATACATATATATATATATATTATATATATATATATATATTATATATATATATATATATATGATGAGTACGCTATATAACACTCCAACGTGATTAGAAATGTGATTAGCTAGTTTATACAAAACTGGCATCCGGATTTCGATTAGTGAACACATGCAACATGTTTCAAAAATTAAAATTGAGAATGAATCGAAACGGATAGAAGATAGTGAATTAGTTGATACACGTCACTTGCTTAATATATATATATATATATATATATATATATATATATATATATATATATCAAATAATGTCTGTCCTCATTAATTTGTTTGTGGACTGAAAATTGAAGGAAGAAAATGGAGGGTCCTACAAAAAACATGGTCATAAATCCATAATAGAATGCAACTACACCCCAATAATTGTTCCTCATGATGAAATATCATAATCATCAAAACTTACTAAAAAGATAACGAATATTCCCCTAATAACAATAACATGATCTCAACTTTCTGAAAGAGTTGTCTTGAAAGATTTGGGTATTATTTCRAAAGAAAAGAGCCTTTAGATTTTCGTATCTATCTTTTATATTTATATTSTGCGTTTTAGTCAAAATTTGGATTYGGACCACAAAATAAACTATTTATAGTAATGGTTCATAGAAAGATAAAAGAAATTAAGAGAACTTCAGGGTTGGATATTAAAATATGCAAACAAAATATTGAAAGTTAATGATAGTCTCAATATTGATCAATCTTCATGTAAGCATCAAAATCATCAATGGCAGAATGATATTTCTTGTAAGAACTTAGAAGGAGTAGAGAGAGAAAGTCAACAATCAAAACTTGGTCAAACTTGTATATACGAATCATATGTTTACAATGAGAATCCTTCCTAAATTTACCAAGCCAACACCCATTATATAGGGTCAAACTACAAGACAAAGGTCAAAGTCAAACTGTCTAAGAAAAGTCAATATAGACAACTTTATCTTTCAAGACGAATATAATTTTACAATGAATTTCATTCCTAACAGTTAACTACAGTTATTAATATGTTGTCAAACGTATACAATAACTTTAAACATATACAATTGTTATAGAGACTAAAAGAATTCTGATTATTCAAACAATTAAGAAAAGAAAAACTATTGTCAAAACCTACATTAATAATGGGTAATTAATTGAACAAATACAAAAAAATGTTTAGTAAAAAAAAATGTTTAGTAAAAAAAAAACGTTTCTTGTCCAAAAAAAACGTAAAGTTGCATTTTATAATTTTTTTTTCCTTAGAATCAGTTGAAATCTTTCAAGTTATTACGTCTTTAATAGTATTTTGATTATTATATCAGTATAACTGTTATAACTTATCTACAATTATTTGATAATTCAGTTTAATAATGTCGCACGATATTTTAACTTATGAAACTTGATTATCGTATTCATAACAAAAAATTGTCTATCATAACGAACAAATTTTGATATGCAACTATCACACATTAACCATATTTAATATCTAATACTTTGATTGCATATTTCAATGCCGAATTCCAAAAATATGTGAATTTCTTTTGGTTACCTTTATTTTTCTACACTTTTGGGATTTTCTATCATAAAAGTCATTTTATCAATTTAAAAGTTTTTTAAATAAATATAAAGATTTTTATTTATTATGTACACTTTAATTTAAGAAATTTGATTTGTTACTAAATACATAAAATATTTTTGAAAAGGAATTTTTTTCAAAAAACGGATGTAAATCACAATTAATTTTAGAGTGAATTACACTTTGGTCCCGATTGTAGTCTATCCAAAATCTGGTTTTCATACTTGATGGTCCATAAAAGATAGACTTGTCTCTCATAACGGTTGCTAAYTGAGGTGTTAACTCTAGACACCTGATTTGTTCCTCATAATGGTTGTTATCCCTCGTGTTTAGTTKCCATCATTGAGTTTGGAACCCTGAACAGACTGCCGGTGATAAGCCGGAGGAAGGTGAGGATGACGTCAAGTCATCATGCCCCTTATGTCCTGGGCGACACACGTGCTACAATGGCCGGGACAAAGGGTCGCGATSCCGCGAGGGTGAGCTAACTCCAAAAACCWRTCCAAATGCTTCGGRGAGTTGAAAATAARCATAGATCCGGAGATTCCCGAATAGGTTAAYCTTTAAGATGTTAATTCTRGAGACCCTGAATATTATGAAATTATGAAATTGAAAAGTTAAGAAACATGGATATGAATAATTCCTTTTTTAAGGACCAAATCCAAAATTTTGAGCAAATAATAGGACCAATAGTGTAATTCAATCAAACATATATTATTGAAAAATATATTGTCTCTGTCTTTTATTTATGATTGATAACTCATATCAGATATTTTACTTTGCTATATTTGGAAATGTCATCAATAATTAAACATTATAATAAAATTAACTACATAGAACTTAMAAAATGTCTAATTATTCTAATAGACTGTTTAATAGGAACAAACAAATTTATGTCATATGTAAGAYAATTACAATAATTTATATAACGTTCTTTTTAAACATTTTAATAAATGTCTATTTATACCGGTGTATCTTTTAATAATTGAGATTGGATATTATTTAGGTACCTTCCACCATATACATATTTCTTGCCAAGAGAAGACAAAACCAGTAAATGTAATGAAGAACAAGAGAAAGGTTTGATTGGCTTCCTGTTCCTGATCATTTCACCCCTCACCTTGTTGGTCATCGGAATCATGCTTATTTGTATCTCAGAAGGTGAAAATATGCGCAAAGACCCCCTCAACTTTAGTGTCTTAAACATCATATTTGAAGTCGTCAGGTCAGTTTCAACTAAACTATCTATATGTGGTTGTTTAACTCACTATAACAAAATCGGGTTTATAGAATGCTAAAAATATTTAAGGGCTGTTTACCTAAATGCTTTCCCAGTAAGCGTTTACCCTTGGGAGTCAACATTGTAATTTATTTTACCAGGTAAGATTGTAGTACATCAAAATGGTGTCGTATGCAACAATTTATCCGGTAAGCGCTTACCCGGGTAAGAGTCGTTACTCTCACTTACCGAGTAAGACTCTTCATCTTTATCATTGGTCTTACTGGGTATAAAATTTTACTCCTTGTCATGTTCATCCGTTAAGAGTAAGCACCTATCGGGTAAGCGTTTAGCAAACGGTTCCTAAGTGTTCTAAGCACATCTCAAACAACTTCTCAAAACTAGAGTAAACTGAGGTTTTTTTATTTTTGCTCCAAATGAAGAAAATAGGAGAGGGAGTAGATTTTTTTTTCTTTCCAAATTTGCATAATTCTTCAGAAATCAATTGGAAGACGAGAGATAAAAATAATTTTGTTATATTATTTATATTATTAATATAATTAATGTTAAAATGTTTAAAATAGTAAAATGGTTGAAGTTGTATGTAAACCTTTTTTTTTTTTTTGGAGATTTTTACTTTTATATTTTAGAAAAATTGGGTATATACTCTTGGAAATGCTTTAAGAGATTGTTTTATAGGACTTAGATTTATAAGACCAAACAATTGTATGTCTTATCTAAAAGTGTTGCAATAAGTTCATAGGACGTTTATGGGATTCTTAACAAGTTTTTTATGAAACTTTTGAAATAAAACATCTTATTAACTTTATACATGACATTTTTTTCTAAAATGTCTTGTAAAAAAACTAACATGACACTTTATTTTAAAAGTGACCTCGAAACTTGTTAAGATACCCAAAAAGGTTATGTGAATTACGTAGGACGCACAACTGTTTCATTGTATAAACTTAAACTCGATAAAGCAGTCTACCAGAATACTTTTGACTTCCGATTATTATTTACTTATAATAAGATTTTATGCATGTAGTGGGTATGGAAATGTGGGGTTCTCCATGGGATATAGTTGCAAAAGACWWCTTCAACCTCATGAAAACTGCAAAGATGCATGGTATGGGTTTGCTGGAAGATGGAATAATACYAGCAAACTCATCCTTATTGTGGTGATGATATTTGGAAGACTTCAAAGAATTCACAAGAATGGTGGTAAAGCATGGAAGCTATCTTGACTTAATAATTAAGTTGCCTCAAATCTCTTGTGGATATAGAGCTTCATGTGTGCTACTTTTTCTGAGCTTAAACAAGGGGTTGTTTGCTTTTGTCTTCGTTATGTCAAACCTTGTGTGGGTTAAGTTTTATGTCCGATAAATTTGTCTGTCTGGATAAAACTCTGTTGTTGTTTGAGGTAGGCAAAGAGAGTGAGGGTTAGATTATTTCTAGGACATTTTTGATATTGATTGGTTTGATATATAGACAAGTGAAGAGTCTTGGCTTATTCCATTTAGACATTTAGGCTTAATGGCTGAATGGTTAAACTGTAAAGAAACAATCTTGTATGACTGAGCAAATAAGCCACCTAAAATATTAAAGTAAGTAAACAACCCTTACATAGTTATGCCCCGATTGAAATGGAGTTTTAAATATGAGTAATTGTGCCCATTAAGTAAGTTGACATAGAAGATATAAACACATTTTTATAAATGTATTACAATAAGATATAGCTTGCCAAAAGAATAACCAGAGTTTCATGGTATATCTCTAAAGTGGATCACACGTTTGATACGAAGGAAAGTCAATGTGCATGGTTTGACCCGGGGGAGGGGGGGGGGGTTAATTGTATTGATTTGACGAATAAATACATTTTCCAAATGAAATCGACCTTGATCTTTTCAGTGTTTAAAATGAAAACCACGTCTTACACCCGACATGTTCAGTCGGCATCGTATATTTTTTCCAATTTTTAGAATTTGATTTTGATTGTCCTTTACTCTTTTTTCTTGGTTTTCAATTTCAATTCCTAATGCATCTAGGTGACTTCTAGTATTGAGTAATATATTCTACAAATTAAAATTAACCAACCAAATTAAAATCAAACACTAAAATTTAATAAATGAAAATAGACTAAACAAATTAAACATCAACTAAGGTTTGAACAATCAATCAACTATTATTCCACAAATAGGCAATAGCTAATCTTGTCCAAAACTGAAGAAAAAACTACAGGAATTTATATTTAAAACTGAAATTGTAACATCCAAGATATAAGAATCGGTTTGATAAGTATAGCTTTTGGGAATTGGGGTTGACTATTTAATAATTGTGCCACTAATTCGGGTATTGTCGTATTGGATTGATACCCTGAACTATGGAGTTGAAGCGACATTAGAAAATTAAAAATTTAATACGGACTATACATTAAAAAGAAGAATCGAACCTGCAACTTCTAAAAGAGGCAAGATTTAATCCAACTATCTAAAACATCTCATCTATTTTGAACTTGTATTACAAATCGATTTTAATAGAAGCATTTCACGGCACCATTCAAAATCAAGCGGATACACTTTTAAGACCCCTAGTTTTTTCTATTAAGACGAGTCAATTGAGCGATAAGCCGTGCACAAATAGTCGTCTTAGTAGGTCAGCCCCTTATTACTACAGTTAAGGGTAGTTTAACCTTTTGTATTCTATTTGTTGAGTTGATAAGTTGTAGGTGGTTGATTCTCTTTTACATGTTGTAAGTTTTTTAAGTATATAATATTTATATACAGTAAATATAATAGATAAACTAAATCACCCTTCTTACATTTAGTGAGGTTTAAACCCCTGCTTTTTTAAGAAGTCAAAGACTTATATACCGTTAAACCAGATGCCCTTTAATAATTTGTTTTAATTTGATTATCAAATAAACACAAAGAATAAAGTACAGATTATTGAAAAATATATTGATAACTGATATTACTTTGAATTCCATGAAGGAATGGTCCCTATTTCACTTGCTATAATTTGCAAATGTCCATCAATTTCCAATAAATTCAATGAATATATTCATAATAAAATGGGGTTGAAATATCTTAAAATACTATTTTAATGGATTTGAGTTTATGGGACGTAACAAGTGTAAACAATTATGTGTAAAATGTAAAAGCGTTATAATAAGTTTGTATAAGACAATTTTGGGTGTTTTTAACATTTATTTTATGACCGTTTTTAAAACAAAATGTTATATTAGTTTTTTAAATAGTGTCTTAAACATATTTTTTTTATAGGACACTTTGCTTTTATAAAACACTTTTTCAATGTAATGTCATGTAAAAATTAATAGAACGTTCGATTCAAAAATGTCCTCTTATTCAAAAAAATGTTAAGGTGTCGAAAACCATCCTATACACTTATAACAATGCTTTTACTAAGGACACACGATGGTTTGTTCATATAAAACAGTCTATTACAACAGTTAAAATATTTTTGACATCTGATAGACCCAATTTTATTATAATAATAGTTGATATATGAGATAATCGGGTTACCGGTTAAAAAGTCTGGAGTTGTTTTTTTTATTATTGATGGTAAGTTAAGGAGGGTTGATTGGGTTATGTGTTTAAAATATTTTAATACTTCCACCGCCACTTATTATTGTGAATATTATTATTAGATATTGGTTCTTATCTCATTGGGATTGTGGGAAACAAGTGAAAAATAGAAAGAAAAGTTGGAAAAAGTTTTAGGTGTGTTCTCTTGTGTGCGATGTAAAACAAAAACCGAAAAGGGAAGAAAGAAGCTTATCTCTGTGATTGATTAGCTGAAATTGTTGTTGTTATACATCTTCATCTCTATGAAATCTTAAGGTTAGTTTTTTGTTATAAACTTTCCTTTTACAATGTTGAAAATAGAATTGTATGATTCTTTAAGTTGGAGTTTTGAAGCATAATTTTGTATTTTGATATGTAAATATCAAATGATTGGAATAAGGATGTCATAATCAAGAGGGGTGTATTTTGGATATAATGGTAGCATAATCAAGAAATGTGTATTTTGGTATAAGGGTGGCGTAATCAGGAGAAGTGTATTATGGGATAAGGGTGGCATAATCAATTATATGTGAAAGCTGGATTTTTGATCAAGTTGATAAACTGTTATCGTATTCTTATGATACGATGACCTTGAGTTATCACACCTGTGTGATGCGATGACTTGGGTTATCGCATTCTATTAATGCGATGAGTTGTTTTTTATCGCATCCTTGTGATGTGAGAAGAATGTTTGTTACATCCTCGTGATGCGACAAGTTGACTTATCGCATCCTATTGATGCGACAAGATTGGGTTTATCGCACCAGTGTAATGGGATGAGATGGGATTCTCGCACTAGTGTGTTGTGAGAAAATTGGGTTGTCTCACCCATGTGATGCAAGGAATTTTTTATTTTATCTATATGATGCAATGAGTATTTGTATAATGCTATAAATAGGTAATTTGGTTATTTGATGCGATGATTGGGTGATGTCTCTTCTTATAGATGCGACAAAAGAGGTTTATTTTGTTAAAATGCTGCTTATTTGTTATTTATACAAATATAGGTTTATAAAAGTGTTTTTGGTGATTTTTCACCTTGCAATACCAAACAAAGGAATTTTTCACTAGACCTCAAGGTCTAACCCTCATTTGTATTTCAAAATATACAATTACAGGTCGGGTACAGTCTGATGATAAAGGGAAAGGAAAATTATGAGGAACTGTGATTTGTGTGGAGTTTAGGAAGATATGTTAATATTGTACTTAAAATACTTGTTACATATACAAGTTTTTACTTAGCATATGTGAAAAAATTTGATAAAGGTACTTTTGTAGTGTAACTTTTGTATATAGTAGGACCAAATATGTAAATTATATTTCATGATATATGAAATATGTGGTTATATGCAAATGTGATCTTGGGGTGTTACAAGTTTGGTATTAGAGCCTGAGTTTAAGAGATTTAGCTATTCAGCATGATGTCTACACTTAAACTGTATTATTTGCATATTAAGGGTCCTTGACATATGTACAACATTTGAAATAAATATGATGGGTTAAAAGAACTAAATGTAAGGTAAATTCAAATTACAATTGGCCAATATAATCACAGGTTTACAGGTACATATTTGTGCTTGGATACCTTATCATATTTGGGGAATGTTATTATGTGAATATTAATTTTTACAAAATGACAAATGGCAAGGCAATCTGGAAGGTCTGAAAGGATCGTTCTCATAAACCCAAACGAGAGAAAAAGTTCACTTGAGAATATTCCTGAAAATCTACTCGTTGGTCAAGGTAGAGGGAGAGGACGTGGTAGGGGAAGAGGAAGAAGTAGTCATCCTCAAGTTCATTCAGATCAGGGTGAATCTATTCAGGAGAACGTTAATGTAGAACCGATACAACATCCTGAGTATGTTACTCAAGACATGTTAGCTAAAGAAATGAGCAAACTGAGAAATACTTTGACTTCTATTTTAGGAGTTCAAGCCAGAGTGGAAACAGAAAGAGTAAAGATCAATCTGCAAGTCCAATCTTCAAATACAAGGGGGAGTGACATCAAGATGTTTTTAACGTATAAACCCCCAACTTTTTCCGGAGAAAGAGATCCTGTGAAAGCAATGTGTTAGTTGAAGGAAATAGAATCAATTTTGAATACAAGTACGTGTTCTTACGAAGATAGGGTCAGATTTTCCGTATTGATGCTTAAGTCAAATGCTTTATATTAGTGGGATGTTGAATCTCTGACAAGACCCAATATTTTACAATCTTTGTCTTGGAAGAAATTTGAAGATCAGTTCAAGGAACAATTCTTCCTGAAAGCGGCAGTAAGGCAACTGGAAGAGAAATTTTAAAAGTTAGAGTAAGGGAACCAAACGGTAAAGGAGTATATAGAGAAATTCAATAAACACTTTCGTTTTGTCGAACAGTATATTTCATCAGAATCTCGTAAAGTTGAAAGGTACATTTGGTGATTAAAACCTTCAATCTGAGTAAGGAATTGTTGGTCCTGGAAGGGTCTACAAGATAAGAAACAGTTTGTAGAAGGGGGGGATGAATACAAACACAAGGTTTTCAAATTTAAAATATATATCGATAGAGAAGATCAATACAAATTTTACAAGACTGTTTGCGGAAAGATAAGGTAAAGAAAAACCTATCTAAACAATCTTTGGTTACACACAAAGCTATAGCAAACACAGAAAAGAGAATGCTAAAAGAAAGATCCTTTACTTAAGCTAGAGGATGCTTGAAGTAAGAATTAGGTTGGAGAGTGTTGCGCGCACTCTGCAA